CTACAAATCCATAACTCTAATAGAATATTTAGCCAGCGTTAAAACTCAGTTAACGAGATATCATTTATTGGAGTCAGATATAGAGGAAATATGCCTCTACACAGTCCTCAATGTTATTATACGCTCACAATATAAAAATCTAGCGAGTAATAACCAGAGACAAAGATGCGAGCACACTTCAGGCAGCCTTGAATAAGGTGATTAAGTGGTCGAAAGAGCGTAGGGGAAGTGCCTGTACCCGTGGTCAGGTTTCATAAGGATCGTGGGGTAACAGTGAATCATGATCTTAAAACGACGGACCACTGCCGGGAGGTTGCAGCCAAGGGGTTTAGGATCCTCTGGGCTCTATGCGGACATTCACCATGCTAGGTACTACCGCGTTCACTACAGTATACACAACCATGGTGAGAACTAAGCTTGAGAACTGCGTTCAGGCTGCAAACCCCTGAATAAAAAGTGAATCGGATGTCCTGGAAAAATTAGTAAGAGAAGTTATTCGTGCAATTCCAGAACTCCAGGGTTTATCATACAAAGACCTCTTTACTCTGTTCTATCGCAGAATAATGGTAAATCTAATTTCGATGTATAGGATTTTAAAAAGTGATTTTGGACTTAACACACTCCCTCTTTTTCTCTTCACTAGATCGGGACACCTCAGAAGACATAGCAGGGGCGTAGAACGAACAAAATACCTGTGGCATACAGGTTTCTATATCGAGTCATCAGTACTTGGAACCTGTCGACATATGCATTATTGTCTGCATCTCCAATTAACTCATTCAAGAGAAGACGGGGCATTCACAGCAGTATACTAGACAAGGAATGACATAGGCCAAAGGCCTATCCTTACTACACAAAATCTAAATCTGGTTGCCGCGTAAACTGAGGAGGTACGTTACGTCGAATTTGAGTAACCCTGGTGTCCTTGATTCGTGTGAAATGCTTGAAGGAGTTGTTCTGTGAATAGATCTAGATTATAGACAAGGATTATCAAACCAGAAAATGGTTCAGAACTGGGCACTAAATAAAAAGTGATCGAAATGATCATCATTACGACAAATTCGTCAATTGGTACTTGGTCACTATTGCTGAATACTAATGGGACTTCAAAAACGAATGAAAGATTTACCCTTTCATTCAAGTGGTTATAATCGCTTGCGTAGGACATGACGTGACTTTTTCACAAAGTAGAAATTTATGTAGTTCGACTTTAATCAGTGTACATTTATTAAAGATTGAGAATGCCGCGAGGTTCTTTTATCTATTAGGTGGGAAATTGTCGACTCAATTTTTCGGAAACTCAATTTCAGTTTAGGATGTGTATTTCGCCCGTAAGTATATATGTCTAAATCGTAATTACCAGTTTCAGTTTTATAGATGTATCTGTTGCTTGGAGCCGTACCAAAATAACCCTTAATTATTTTGAAGGTGGCTTATCCCAATAATAATAGTCAAGTTTAAAATCATTTAAACCTGTTAAGTTAACATTTGCTTGTGGAAATTTACCACTATCTATGTTTTTCTGTCAAATATTGTTAAAAATCATTCTGGAAGTAAGGCTTTCTCCGTCTAATTTTCACTGGAGTGTACAGGCAACAATCTTGTTGGAAGGAAAAGTTTATTAATCTCAGCCTTAAAGTTTTCTTAACGTGTTTCTAACCATCTGAATACAGAATGTTAATTAAGAAGTGGTCTGCGTTAACCTCTAGTTTGTCTGTATGTAGTAGATTATTAGAACGTGTTGAATACTTCAATTAGCTTGGAAGTGTTATTAGCCGTTGTGAGTTAATGTATAACCTAATCTCGGTATGATTCTATAAATGTCGCATCTGAATATTACTTTGTAAATTTTGTTCTAGTTTATTCTTCCTCAAACCGTGCTTAACTTTCCTATTATCAGTAGTTCCAATAGGATTTTGACGCCGTTACTTTTATTTTTTTGAATTCTATATGTCTTTGACCAGTGCAATAATTTTTACGAATATAGATTTATTCGAGACTCTACGTTGATTTTAATAGTGTTTTTTCGCTTTAGATTGTGCTTAGATACTCAAAAGCTGTGGAAATAGCAGTGATGTTTACTAGTAACTTAGACCTAAAGGTTGGGAAAATTAACTGAATTTCAGCGGCGTCTATAGAACTGATAGATGCTCTAAAACTCACCCCGTCTGGTTCTGAACTCGATGAGAAGCGAAGTCAACCTAGATGTAGGCTGATAAAAAGTCTACTTAGTGATCGTTAGAAGTGGTTGCTGACAAAAGCAAGAGAGATCAAAAAGGCATCAGTGATAGGTAACAGTAGATAACTTTTCAGTCTTATCAAGGAAACGAGTATTGAGAAGCTGGTTGCTAATGAAACTATCTTGGAAAAAGACAGGACTGTTATTCATGGTCAGTCTAGGAGATTAAACTGATGGGCAGAATGCTTTAAAGAACAGTTCAACTGACCTTCAGCCACACTTTAGTTACCTAATATCTTCAAGCAACCTGAGTGGCAAACTAATCTAAGTCTTCTGACTCTTAATAAGGTTGGAAAAGCTACAAATAATCTTAAGCGAATGTCCGGCGCTATAACCGGATCCCAAATCAATGGTGTACATGGGCTCCAGTATCCTGCGGGAACAAATGGCGTATGAACCAATCGTTGGTCACCGGCTACCATGGGACTGCATCTCCTTACGATGCTCCACTGCCTTGTGGGTCAGACGTTCAGGTCAAAGGCTCGGGGTGTGGCCCCCTAAGAAAACCACCTGCTTCGGTTTGGGCACCCGGGCAGTATCACAGCTCTCACACAAATCAATTGAGATTTGTGTGGCGCATATGTATTTGGTCCCTCTTTGTACCAATACCTATGTGTCAAAATAAATAAATAAATAAGCGAGGGGAAGCAGCAGAGCCTGACGGATCAACTCCTGAGACTTTTAAGGATGATGGCTCTGTTTTATATTATGAATGCAGTGGTGTTGATTGCTGTTAAAAGTATGAGGGCAGTTATCACAGTTTTGATAGTTAGATTAACTGAAATTGTAGCCAAATCTAGGAGCTGGACGTAATCCTATCTTCCTGACCTCTATTGCTAATTGTCCCAGTTTATAAGAAAGGGAAAAAAATCCTATTGTGACAATCGCAGAGGAATCATTTTAACTAATATAGTGTCTAAAATTTCAGCCTTAGTAATACTTCGACGTCTAGCTAGAGCTCGTGAGGAACAAACCCGAGAAAATCAGGTTGGTTTCAGACGTGAACGTGGATATGTAGACCAAATATTATTCTTTCGGCAGATTGCGAAACAGACACCCGACTATAGTTGTAGGTGCTGATAAAATTCAGTCTTTTGGTAGCACTGAGAAACGATGCCAGAATGTTTGGAATGCGTTTCTCCTCATGTAAGTGTAAGTTGTTGCCTCAGAACTGACCTGTGTCAACGCCTGAACTAAGGATAGAGAGTGAAGTAGTTGAACGCATTGAAAATTTCACTTATCTTGGAAATCCGTTCAGCCCAAATTGGTTGGTGTCTGACGAAATCTCAACACAGATTCGAAAAGCTCGTTTGGCTTTTGCCAACTTACGTTACCTCCCATGAAAAGGGCGATATATACATATATCAATTAAACGACGAGTATACTGAGCATCAGTTCGTGGCCACTAAGGGTGGAAGATACTCGTAAGTTACTAGTGTTTGATCGCAGATAGCTGAGAAATATTACTCGCATCTGTTCGGATCACCGGGTAAGAAAAAGTGAGGTTAGACACAGGGTATTAGAGAATGATGGTAAATCAGTTGATAAAGTTGTGAATCTCCATCGAATGGGATGGTTGGGCCACGTATTACGTATGCCTGAACATCGATTACCACAACGTGCAATGCTGACTAGTGTTGGAGACCACTAGAAGAAAGTTAGAGTTAGCCAAACCAAAATGTGGCATCTGCTTGAAGTCACAACTTCTAGTCTGAGCCATGTTGGTAGATGCAGACTACTTGGTTGGGGTCGGCGTGACTATTGCATTTAATGTTCGTCAATTGTAGACGTAATTGAAAAGTGACACTGACTAAGGAAATTTACTATTTTTTTAAAATTCAAATATGCTGTGTAACAGGCACCAGTTAATGGAAATAAAAAAGAATAAATTACGATTAAGTAGTGGTAAATAAATAGCCTTCAGTTAAAAGACGAAAAAGTGAATAGCTTTGACCGTTTTCATTCACGCTCACATATATCATTTCAAGCCCATAGCCACTCATTTTTAACGTTTTTAGAATAAGGAAAAGTTTGAAAACGAGCAATCTTAAACATTAAAGACTAGTACAGGACATTATTCTGATTCTCATGAGATGTTATCCCGACTTATTCCTAATTCAATAAAAGTAATGTATCAAGAAATTTCAAAGAAGACATAAAAAACATGTTTCAACCGTCTGCGTAACAAGGGTCAAAGTAAAAACACTTCATTATATAAATGGTCATTCATAACGAAAATAAGTGACAGCAGATATACCAGGTAGACACCAACAAATACTATCTGTTTAATTTAATACGAGTCCTAATAAACAGCCTTTACTTTGAAGATGGTTTTTGATTTCCTTCTCAAGCACAAAACATCTGGCGAAATTGGTAATATTTCTTAATGTTTAATAGCATTCGAAAAAATGGGTAAGCCCGTACATCATAGTTTATCCAAACTAAAGAAAATGGATTAGGTATGTCGTGATGTGCTTTTTAACCTTTGATATATGCTTATATATATATAATACGGATTTATGTACAAGTACTTGAAACATATGAATCCTGGTTATAAAACCCAGTTCTCCTACTAGAAGTAGGTGAAGTAAAGTTCGACCTCGCAACTCGACGATTAAAATTCGAGTATTTTAATAACTGAATATCGAATTTCAACAAAGATAACTTACAATTCATCTGTAGAATACGTTATACACAAATTCTAAGGATGATGTGTAGAAAGGTCACTCATAAATCACTCGAAATTGTCTCAAAAACTTACCAACCACTGTACACCAGGCCATCCCACGATCCACGTAGACAGTCGACATTACATAAATATATATATGTGTATGCTTCAATAATTCTTCCTATTCACATCAGATACTGTAACTATGTCAACAAACATGAAACAAAATCTTGTGAATATGGAAAGCATTTTGAATTATATTTCTTAAAATTAATTCTAAAGTTTGACTTACTCTTAGCTTCGAACATCAATAATGTATCTCTGTCAGTATTGTTAGAAGTATTTCGTAGGCTTTACTGTGAACAAACCACTTGTTTTTCTGCTGCTGGTTAGATAAACTTAGACAGGTTCCTTACTTTGAATACATAAAACAGTAATTCAACCCTTTTCGGCCTGTTTTAATATTCTCTCTTTCTAAAGATATTTTGGATTTACAACTTAAAAATATGAGTGTCATGGTAATGCTGCAAGTGAACAAGAGGCTGGGATAATTCCTATTGTGACATAATCTAGAATGCAGTATACATTTTACGGATATTTTCGTGGTTTTGGGGTTATGTCGCCCACTATCTATGTGTAAAGTGCTAAACACCCACTCTCCTTAAGTGCTAATACCCAGGAAGTATTACATCATCCAACTGATCCGACATTATCATTAGCGAACTTACTTGATTTCAACTTTATCCCTGAACTACAAATACGAGATTTATTAAACTATTTATTTTTTCAGAAAACATTGCGAATCCTCAGAATGACGAATGTCTGCGAGATAGCCTGATCGTTTGAAAAAATAATGTATCACAATTGCAGACACTAGATGAACATAAAGGAAAAATATAGTCAGGAAGAAAAATTGGAATACGAACTCATATGGTACTTCTCAAGTTCAGGTTGCCGCATCTCATACGAGCATAGAAAAAAGTGCATGAAATTTTAAGACATCCAATTATTTTAACCACTGAGAAAATAAATACGGTTGAGATCGAGGAAAAAAGGGTGCATATGTGATACTGATCAGGTAGAGGAGAAAGACGAATGGTAATTTACCCCCCATATTCTACCCAAAAGAACAATTTTTGCAATAACTAAGGTACTACTTTATAGAAATCGGGGCTACAAGTTATTTTTTCGTCTTTACTAGTACGGAGAAAATTTCGTACATGGCTCCTCCAGTCAATTTTTTGGCATAAAACTAACGAATCGAAAGACCCATTTTGACTTGCGTACTGTAAAGTGTATTAGTGAAGAAAAGAAATCATTAAAATAATCCGTACGGGCAAACCACCAGAAGAATCAACACACCTGACTCAACTTCAAATCGCTGTCCACTTAACAACCTTGAGTTAATGTAATACTAGTGTGAAAAAATAAGGATCAGTCCTCTGTAATAAGGATAGAAGGTCGGTCGACCTGTCTTGATTTTCGCAGTTTGTAACATTGTAAAGGTTCAACCTCGCTTTGAATATATCAAATGGTTCAAATGGTTTTGGACGGAATAGAAGAAGCTTTCGCTTAACGGGCTTTCGAAACTAGTATCAGTGGATCACCGATACCTCCAGGTATATTGTCGATTGAAGAGGAAGACAAAAAAAAGTGGTAACTCATAGTACTATCCTATAGACAGTATTGAGGCATGCGAATCTACGATCTCAGTTCCGAATTCACATAATAATCCAACAGAAACTATGGGGGAGCCTTGTCTGAGCGGTGTAGAGGATGTGATCAAGAGACAAAATAAGGTAAATGAGAGCCTCACAGTCACACTCAAGAAAAGTGAGAAGACAGAATGTGACCTCTGCGTCCGACGCTAAATTGGAGTCGGACTGCAGGACAGAAACGATTTTAGGAACAAAAATTCCACAGCGTGTTAATACGTACCTCTCTGAGAGGTCAGTAAATTTTTGTAAGTTAAAAGAATCTTCAGATAAGGAACCAGAGGCTAGATTTAAACACGACCTCAGTCATATTAGACCCTTAATAAGCAAGCTACTCTCAGAAACAGTTTTAGGCGTTAGGATCTGTAAGCTTTATGGTATAGAACTCAGAACAGCTGCCTCTTGAAGGTTACATTTGCCACGGTTGAAGAAAGAAACTTGATACTAGGTAGCCCACGTGAAATAATTGGATCCGGAATATACTTCCATGAGGATCTCAGCCTAGCTGGTCCTATAAAGAGACGAGCTGCAGAAGTGGAAATAAACGAGCGCCGCCGAAACGGTGAAAGAAACCTCGTTCTTAAGGGTTTTCAAGTTGTAAAAGTTCGGAGCGAAACGATATCGAAACCACTCTGGGTAGTAAGGGAAAATTTTCCACAGAATTAAAGGTTTGCTACACAAATCCACGCAGCCTAATAAATAAAATGGAAGGGCTCAGGTCATTGGTGTGTAAAGGAAATCCGGATGCTATTGCTGTCTCAGAAACTTGGTTAACGTCAGAAGTATCAGATAATGAAATCCAGTTGATTGGTTTTCTGTCCATTATGGTTGATAGATTAAACCATAGGGTAGGCGGAGTTATCCTGTACACAAATGTACCTTAACCATACGAGCAGTTGAGACAGTGGCACATGACTCAGGGACATGTGAACTGGTGAGTTGCAAGGTGAAATGCAGACGGCAAGATATTGAATTAGTTGTAGTATATCGCAATCCAGAATGCAGAATAGATGGCTTCCTCTCAAGCTTACTTAAGCCCTGGTGTAACAAGGGTAAAAGCCTTGTAGTAGGCTACTTTAATGCACCGTATATAAACATGGTAAACTTAGAAGTAGGGTTATCGATAACATCATTTGATTGCAAATCGTTAGAAACCTTAATTGTATTAGTTTTATTTCAACAAATTAAAGATCCCACCAGATTAGAATTACAAAGCGCCTTTCCTATTTTAGATTTAGTCTTCACACACGGTGATAACGTTGGTCAAATGACTTTCCTCCCACCACTAGGGAGAAGCGTTAATGCAGTCACATTATTCAAATTCATCGCTGAGATTGCCTGTCAAAGAGTTGCACCGGCCCGTCCTAACATATAGAAGGGAGATTTAGAAGCAATCATTCTGCAGCATCTGCTGAAAACTGGGAAACTGACTCAAGAGCATCAGTAAAAGAGGCATAGACGCATTTTAGGCAGTTATACAATCAAGTAACTGGACCGTGTATACCCTAGACAGTCGCAAAGAAGAAGAAGCATGGACATCTCTGGATAGGCCGGGATATTCGATGTTTGTTAAGACAAAAGAAGAAATGTTGGAATGTTGCTATCAGCCTTGACACAGCAGGTACGATGGAACGCTACAGATCGGTAAGAAACAAGTGTATAACAAGAATTCGAGAAGCCCAAAGAAAACATGAAATGCAGTTGGCATAATCTGCACTCAAGCAGCGCAGAGAATATCCTCGTACATAAACTACAAAACAAGGATGCATCACTAGATTCCCAACATAATTAAAGAAGGAAGTGGATCTAAAATGATAGAGAAAGTTCAGGAAAAAGCAAAGGCTATAGCTAACTATTTTGGGTCAGTTTCCATTCAGGGATCTCCTCTAGAAAGGAACCAAACGCAAATACAGAGTCAATAAACCAATCGCTCACCGTGGACTTTGACCAAGACGATGTGCTTAAGGTTCTTAGCACCTTAAACATTGAAAAGTCAACAAGACCAGATGGACTACACTTCAGAATATATCGCGGCCACACTGTGATACTCAACATGCCACTTGACCAAGGTGTGTTACCTATGGACTGGAAGGACGCAATCGTTACTTCCATACATAAAACAAGATGAAGTTCCATTGAATTACAGATCAGTAAGCCTCACCAACGTTTTAGTTAAAATGTTGGAAGGAATGGCGGAACAGACCCTTATGACATTTGTCGAAACCACCAGCCTGTTAAACAGCGAACAACACGGTTTTAGAAAGGGTTTGTCTTGCACAACAAAAATCCTTATAGCAAGAGATATTGAATGAAGACGTTAGACAACGAAAACTCAGTTTATGTTGTCTACACAAACTTCAGCAAGGCATTTGACAAGGTGCCATCGAAGTTAGAAAATCATGGTATTACCGGAACGTTTTTAAAATGGATTAAGGATTTCCTAGTAGGTCGTAGACAGAAAGTAAGAATGAATTGCAAATGTTCCATCTGGAGACCAGTACATACTGGAGTACCTCAATGTTCCATCCTAGGTTCTTAACTTTTTATACTGTATGTAAATAATCTCTCAAGTATAGTACTGTTGTTGTAAGCCCATTCAACTATTGTATTATTTGTCTACTCACTGTAATTTAGACACCTAATCTACTATGTTAATTTCTGTGTGTTTATGATTAAACTCGTGTCTGCACATCAATCCTTAATCTATTCTCCGATTGGTTATAACACACAGATAATCAGTAATTTATCCACACTTGATTAACACTCATAACTATACATGGATTTTTAACACTGAAACACAAAGTTTGTTTAGCTGTGTGTTTGCTTGTTATACGCTTGCGGATTTTATTAATCTTAAACAATAAAATATCTCTACAACTGGTGTTCAGGCTTCTGAATAATCTCGAGTAAATCTGTAGAATTATGGTCTACTATGATATTGGCACTGCTCTAATAATAGACCTAATCCTAAAATTATAGATTTGTCATGATGCAACTGCCTAACCTATAAGATCTCACGTGGAAGTCACATTATTATCTACGCCACCTCATCGCATCGTAACAATTACCAATACATGATGGAGAACAAGCTTAGGCTAGATATGGAACAATATATTTGATACGGATAAAAGATAAGAGATAACACTCAGCTGGGACGGCGCATGCATGGCCGAGCCATGCCATACCATCAACCTCCATATCTAATGTTAAAGTTTTCTGCCCAAACGTCGCAATTTTAGTTTTATTGGCAGCCTGGAGTGTTTACTGGGGATGTTTTTCGCCCCAGCTCAGTTTTATTTTGAGGTATGATACTGAGAGCCACTACAAATCCATAACTCTAATAGAATATTTAGCCAGCGTTAAAACTCAGTTAACGAGATATCATTTATTGGAGTCAGATATAGAGGAAATATGCCTCTACACAGTCCTCAATGTTATTATACGCTCACAATATAAAAATCTAGCGAGTAATAACCAGAGACAAAGATGCGAGCACACTTCAGGCAGCCTTGAATAAGGTGATTAAGTGGTCGAAAGAGCGTAGGGGAAGTGCCTGTACCCGTGGTCAGGTTTCATAAGGATCGTGGGGTAACAGTGAATCATGATCTTAAAACGACGGACCACTGCCGGGAGGTTGCAGCCAAGGGGTTTAGGATCCTCTGGGCTCTATGCGGACATTCACCATGCTAGGTACTACCGCGTTCACTACAGTATACACAACCATGGTGAGAACTAAGCTTGAGAACTGCGTTCAGGCTGCAAACCCCTGAATAAAAAGTGAATCGGATGTCCTGGAAAAATTAGTAAGAGAAGTTATTCGTGCAATTCCAGAACTCCAGGGTTTATCATACAAAGACCTCTTTACTCTGTTCTATCGCAGAAAAAGGGTAATTCTAATTTCGATGTATAGGATTTTAAAAAGTGATTTTGGACCTAACACACTCCCTCTTTTTCTCTTCACTAGATCGGGACACCTCAGAAGACATAGCAGGGGCGTAGAACGAACAAAATACCTGTGGCATACAGGTTTCTATATCGAGTCATCAGTACTTGGAACCTGTCGACATATGCATTATTGTCTGCATCTCCAATTAACTCATTCAAGAGAAGACGGGGCATTCACAGCAGTATACTAGACAAGGAATGACATAGGCCAAAGGCCTATCCTTACTACACAAAATCTAAATCTGGTTGCCGCGTAAACTGAGGAGGTACGTTACGTCGAATTTGAGTAACCCTGGTGTCCTTGATTCGTGTGAAATGCTTGAAGGAGTTGTTCTGTGAATAGATCTAGATTATAGACAAGGATTATCAAACCAGAAAATGGTTCAGAACCGGGCACTAAATAAAAAGTGATCGAAATGATCATCATCACGACAAATTCGTCAATTGGTACTTGGTCACTATTGCTGAATACTGATGGGACTTCAAAAACGAATAAAAGATTTACCCTTTTCATTCAAGTAGTTATTATCGCTTGCGTAGGACATGACGTGACTTTTTCACAAAGTAAAAATTTATGTAGTTCGAATTTAATCAGTGTACATTTATTAAAGATTGAGAATGCCGCGAGGTTCTTTTATCTATTAGGTGGGAAATTGTCGACTCAATTTTTCGGAAACTCAATTTCAGTTTAGGATGTGTATTTCGCCCGTAAGTATATATGTCTAAATCGTAATTACCAGTTTCAGTTTTATAGATGTATCTGTTGCTTGGAGCCGTACCAAAATAACCCTTAATTATTTTGAAGGTGGCTTATCCCAATAATAATAGTCAAGTTTAAAATCATTTAAACCTGTTAAGTTAACATTTGCTTGTGGAAATTTACCACTATCTATGTTTTTCTGTCAAATATTGTTAAAAATCATTCTGGAAGTAAGGCTTTCTCCGTCTAATTTTCACTGGAGTGTACAGGCAACAATCTTGTTGGAAGGAAAAGTTTATTAATCTCAGCCTTAAAGTTTTCTTAACGTGTTTCTAACCATCTGAATACAGAATGTTAATTAAGAAGTGGTCTGCGTTAACCTCTAGTTTGTCTGTATGTAGTAGATTATTAGAACGTGTTGAATACTTCAATTAGCTTGGAAGTGTTATTAGCCGTTGTGAGTTAATGTATAACCTAATCTCGGTATGATTCTATAAATGTCGCATCTGAATATTACTTTGTAAATTTTGTTCTAGTTTATTCTTCCTCAAACCGTGCTTAACTTTCCTATTATCAGTAGTTCCAATAGGATTTTGACGCCGTTACTTTTATTTTTTTGAATTCTATATGTCTTTGACCAGTGCAATAATTTTTACGAATATAGATTTATTCGAGACTCTACGTTGATTTTAATAGTGTTTTTTCGCTTTAGATTGTGCTTAGATACTCAAAAGCTGTGGAAATAGCAGTGATGTTTACTAGTAACTTAGACCTAAAGGTTGGGAAAATTAACTGAATTTCAGCGGCGTCTATAGAACTGATAGATGCTCTAAAACTCACCCCGTCTGGTTCTGAACTCGATGAGAAGCGAAGTCAACCTAGATGTAGGCTGATAAAAAGTCTACTTAGTGATCGTTAGAAGTGGTTGCTGACAAAAGCAAGAGAGATCAAAAAGGCATCAGTGATAGGTAACAGTAGATAACTTTTCAGTCTTATCAAGGAAACGAGTATTGAGAAGCTGGTTGCTAATGAAACTATCTTGGAAAAAGACAGGACTGTTATTCATGGTCAGTCTAGGAGATTAAACTGATGGGCAGAATGCTTTAAAGAACAGTTCAACTGACCTTCAGCCACACTTTAGTTACCTAATATCTTCAAGCAACCTGAGTGGCAAACTAATCTAAGTCTTCTGACTCTTAATAAGGTTGGAAAAGCTACAAATAATCTTAAGCGAATGTCCGGCGCTATAACCGGATCCCAAATCAATGGTGTACATGGGCTCCAGTATCCTGCGGGAACAAATGGCGTATGAACCAATCGTTGGTCACCGGCTACCATGGGACTGCATCTCCTTACGATGCTCCACTGCCTTGTGGGTCAGACGTTCAGGTCAAAGGCTCGGGGTGTGGCCCCCTAAGAAAACCACCTGCTTCGGTTTGGGCACCCGGGCAGTATCACAGCTCTCACACAAATCAATTGAGATTTGTGTGGCGCATATGTATTTGGTCCCTCTTTGTACCAATACCTATGTGTCAAAATAAATAAATAAATAAGCGAGGGGAAGCAGCAGAGCCTGACGGATCAACTCCTGAGACTTTTAAGGATGATGGCTCTGTTTTATATTATGAATGCAGTGGTGTTGATTGCTGTTAAAAGTATGAGGGCAGTTATCACAGTTTCGATAGTTAGATTAACTGAAAGTGTAGCTAAAATCTAGGAACTGGACGTAATCCTATCTTCCTGACCTCTATTACTGATTGTCCCAGTTTATAAGAAAGGGAAAAAAAATCCTATTGTGACAATCGCAGAGGAATCATTTTAACTAATATAGTGTCTAAAATTTCAGCCTTAGTAATACTTCGACGTCTAGCTAGAGCTCGTGAGGAACAAACCCGAGAAAATCAGGTTGGTTTCAGACGTGAACGTGGATATGTAGACCAAATATTATCCTTTCGGCAGATTGCGAAACAGACACCCGACTGTAGTTGTAGGTGCTGATAAAATTCAGTCTTTTGGTAGCACTGAGAAACGATGCCAGAATGTTTGGGATGCGTTTCTCCTCATGTAAGTGTAAGTTGTTGCCTCAGAACTGACCTGCGTCAACACCTGAACTAAGGATAGAGAGTGAAGTAGTCGCACGCGTTGACAACTTCACTTATCTTGGAAATCCGATCAACCCAAATTGGTTGGTGTCTGACGAAATCTCAACACGGATTCGAAAAGCTCGTTTGACATTTGCCAATCTATGTTACCACTCATGAAGAGGACGATATATACATATATCAATTTAACGACGAGTATACTGAGCGGCAGTTCGTGGCCCCTAAGGGTGGAAGATTCTCGTAAGCTACTAGTATATAACCACGGATATTTAGAAATATTACTCGCATCTGTTCGGATCACCGGGTAAGAAAAAGTGAGGTTAGACACAGGGTATTAGGGAATGATGGTAAATCAGTTGATAAAGTTGTGAATCTCCATCGAATGGGATGGTTGGGCCACGTATTACGTATGCCTGAACATCGATTACCACAACGTGCAATGCTGACTAGTGTTGGAGACCACTAGAAGAAAGTTAGAGTTAGCCAAACCAAAATGTGGCATCTGCTTGAAGTCACAACTTCTAGTCTGAGCCATGTTGGTAGATGCAGACTACTTGGTTGGGGTCGGCGTGACTATTGTATTTAATGTTCGTAGGTAACTAGGACCGATGCATATATGTACCTGGTCCTATGTTGTAGCTAACTGACTGATGGGATCAAGTCATAGAATGACTATCAAGCAATAAAGAATTACATATAATGATTTGTTTCCTAGAAAAATATTGTTTCTCGAATTTGAGTTAAATAATTTATTAATATTAGTCAGATTTATAATATTGACAATATTTGAAAAATGCAATCAGTTTTAGTGTTTAAAAGTATCAAGGTGATCGACAGTCCCCAGCCGTGATTGTCCTGACCATTAGGCACCGGTTCTTGAACCAACTATTTCCGCATACTTCATACAATTTTGAACCACATTCAACCATCTCGAATCCTGTATTGACGAAATGTTTCTGGGAATTAAAAGAACATGGTAATGAGACGACATTTGAAAAGTATAAATAAATTTATAAACAGCGTAGGAATACTATAACAGAGCCCAGTTTAGTTGTGGTAATGATTTTCTAGATCGAAATTGCTTTCAGATCTCTGGGTGTTCATAACTATTTGGCGATTTCACTCCACTTTGTACAGCTGACTGGCTTCATCAGACTCGGATTTTGTAGATATATATCGAGATGACGAAATGAAGTAAATCATTTTTCATCTTAGTAGGCCCCACTAATCGACTAATAAGGTGCCAAAAATGACTACCTGTGTAAAGCGTCCTTCTAATCGCGTTCGCTAGTCTAGATATAAAACACGTCGCTAAATATTTCCCCATTAAATGGTAGCTTTAGGAACAGGGTATTTCTTGCGAGCTATCGATTCACTCAAATTTTTATTCCCTGTATACATGTGCTGCTTTGAAAAGCTTCATGGGTAGCTTGTTTCACACAAGATTTCCATATGCGTACACAGATTTTTTTCACCTAATACAATTTGGATAAAGTTAGCGTCAAATGAATCACATATTAGGCAATCCGTAAATGTCTGGTGATCTAATCTATGTGTAGTAACTTTGATTATTTCTCTGTAGAAGCTCAAACTAGACTGCATAGCTAAACAAAATTAATTAATACCAATCTGTAATATAGGTATGGTTTAACATCTTCCATACACTCAATACCCAAAGATTGTGGAACTTTTCATTAAAACTGGGACAAAAGTTCTCACGAATCACTCTTCATCTGTATGCCTTTCGCCAACTTCATCTATAAACGGTTTATGCTTACAGAATAAATCTACCATTTAACCTGTCTAGATTCAATTTGTTCATAAATATTTAGTTTTTTTATTTATTATCAATCTCATAATCTCTTCAGGTTCAAAAACATTCATACATACTGAATACAATAGATATTAGTTAACATACCAGAGATAGCTGGTTAGCAAAGATTGCAACATTGTGTACACCAGCTGCTTTATATTCAGTGCATAAGTAAAGTTGAGTACTTTCCTCTACAAACTGTCTCATCATTAAATTTTTAATTAATTCAGAAAGTGATTTATCTGGACCATTATGTAATCGAATATATCGTAAGCGTTCATTATTTCCTGATTCCAGTAAAAGACTAGCACAAATATCTCTTTGATAAGTGGATGCTCTAAGAATCTGAAAGTTTAGTAATAGAAAAGGCAAACAAATAAAGAATTAAATTACATTGGATTGTTGTTCTCAGTCTTACATACACTTATATTACTACTATGGGTTAAATACAATAGTGTAGTTTTATCAAAAATTGATAATTATTATCCTTAATAAAAGTTAATCAGTAGCAACGTGGAACTTCGTACGTACGTGCATCAGTTCGAGTTGCCATACCACATTAGCACAAAGATTCAGTTATCGATTCAAATCCCACTGTGGTAGAGCTAGTGAAAGTATAAGTAGAGATAGGGGACATTAAGGTTTGATGATGTTATTAAAGGAGTATAGTCTAGTGGAATAAATTGGGAAACAAAATAAAGGACATGAAGAATACAGAAGATTAAAGTTTGAGAGAACACAAAGAGTGGATGCACCTGCGCCATTGCAAACGATTTTGAGCCATGTCATTCAAGATCTCTAACCATCGGTTGCTATCATCTTGCGGACCCCAACCAGGTAGTCTACACCTACCAACATGACTCAGTCTACTTGTCAGTGACTTCATGGATTTGTGCCATGTTTTGATCTGGCCGCCCCTAGCTTTCTTTCAACCTGTTGCTACACCATAAAACATCGCACGTCGTGACAGTCGGTGGTCTGGCATGCGCAACACATATCCCAGCCATCCTTAATACAAGAAGCTATACAATTATAAAATCTAGGTTTTCTAGTCTCATTTCATCTCACCTCTTATTTTACAGATTTCACTACTATTATGAGTTATTCTTTGATTAATAATCGTTAGTTTTAAGACTGTTCAAATGAATGATTAGTGTTGAGTGCTGAAATGCAATGATATGATGTAACTGAAGAGTTGACTACTCACCAGATCATTAATGGGAACAATCAAATAGCGCGATATCAAAAACAACAATGTCAACCAGTAGAATAGGCTTTTTATATGATAGAAAAATATAGAAATTAAGGTGGAAGAATATATTTGAGAAATGTCAACGATTGAATATGAAATAAATCCAACGTTCTGTTCAACAATCTGATTCAAGCCTTTCCAAGGAAATATAATCAAACATCAAAATTATCGAATATAAATAGGTACATGGCTTTCCGGTTAACTGTATACCAAATCAATGGTGCACATGGGCCAGCTCCAGTAACCTGAAGGAAGAAATGGCGTATGAACCAATTGTTGGTCACCGACTACCATGGGACTGCATCTCCTTACGATGCTCCACTGCTTTGTGTGTCAGATCTTCAGGTCGAAGGCTCGGTGTGTGGTTCCCTAAGAAAACCACCAGCTTCGGTCTGGGCACCCGAGCAGTATCTCAGCTTACACACAAATATAATGATAATGATGATATTCCTTTACGATATGAGATCACTATGTTGTTAACTCATTCTTTCGATAAATTTTTCACCTTATCGTTTTGGTGTTTATTAATTATTCATTTTATGCATGTCGTGACATATCATACATAAAAATTGTATGCTCTCTTCAAAAAATTCACCTATCAGAGGTAGTAAATAGTTAATGAAATTCCTTCTCACACCTCAGATCCACTTACAAATATACACAATCTATTATCTTTTTTACGCTGTTCGTTGCACACTAAATGTCTCGTACACAATACATCAAATACTTACTTTCAACATTGTTAACATGATTGGATAACCTATTTGGTATACTTATTTATTTATTTTAACACATAGATATTGGTCCAGGGAGGCACCGAATACATATGCACCACACAGACCTCATTTGGTATGTCTGAGGGTTGTGATACTGACCGGGTGTCCAAATCGAAGCAGGTGGTTTTCTTAGGGGGCCACACACCGAGCCTTTGACCCAAAGGTCTAACCCAGAAGGCAGTGGAGCATCGTAAGGAGATGCAGTCCCATGGTAGTCGGTGACCAACGATTGGTTCATACGCCATTTGTTCCTTCAGGTTACTGGAGCTGGCCCATGTGCACCATTGATTTGGTATACAGTTAACCGGAAAGCCATGTACCTATTTATATTCGATAATTTTGATGTTTGATTATATTTCCTTGGAAAGGCTTGAATCAGATTGTTGAATAAAACGTTGGATTTACTTGAAATTCAATCGTTGACATTTCTCAAATATATTCTTCCTTTTTAATGTCCTTTATTTTCTTTCCAAATCTATTCCACTGGATTATACTCCTTGAATAACATCATCAAACCCTAATGTTCCCTATCACTACTTATACTTTCACTATCTCTACCACTATGGGATTTGAATCGATAACTGCATCTCTGTGCTAATATGGTATGACAACTTGAACTGATGTACGTACGTACACGAAGTTCCACGTTGTTACTGACTGACTAATGTCTTACATTAACTTAGCGCCAAAATACTAAGGAACTATTTGTTCATATTTACATGTAAGTTCTCATAAAATATAGAAATTATTAACAATAAGAAGTAAATAAACAAGTATCAGTATGACAAGGGACTGGTGGGAATCAATTTGTTTTCGATTATTTACTCTTCAATGACTGTTGGGCTGAATTCTTGTTCGTCATGTCAATTTCTTAGTTGTTTGGTGTTTGTTTTAATTGATTTCAGATATTTGCTAATCAATAAGTCATAGATATAACCCTCTAACTTTGTTATCTGTAGTATTACACGTGATATGACATTTTCTGTATAACTTTGAATAAGTTCCTACGTTATGATAGTACATTGTTTTTTGAAGCCAGTGGTCTGATTCTTGAAGCATTTCTCTTTCAACCAATGGCTCTCGAGTTTGGACCCTAGTTCATCTAATTCAGTTAAGGAAAGTAAATAGTCTCACTATCCCTAATGTGTAGTGTAGCTCAAAGTTAAGTAGATAAACACACATTTGGCGGATAAATTATGCACTATGATTGTGAAAGATTTTTTCATCTGTTACATTACATAATATTACTAAAGTTCCTTTATATATCTATTTGAATAAACAGGATTACATGTTTTATAGATGATTTTCTCTAGCGTTTTCATTAAAGAGCAATATTGAGATGGTGGAGAAGATTTGTAGCTCAGGTGGATGAGTTTGATGGAGTTTTATTCTCTGAGCTGAATGGTTTAATCGTGGAGCTTTTATCGTTCTTCTGAATGAACAACATCATCAGCACAAACTTCAGATAGAAGTGTGTATTGTTCGAATTTCTCCATATGCATTTCATAGCTTGTTCTGTACACATCGAAGCGTATAGAACAAGATATAAAATGCATATGGAGAAATTCGAACATTTCACTTCCATTTGAAGTTTGTGCCGATGATGTTGTTCTTTCAAAAGAACGATGAAAACTCCGCGATCAAACCATTCAGCTCAGAGAATAAAACTCTATCAAAAAGAGCAATATAGCATAGAACATCATATCATCCTGACCGTTGTTGCTACCTTGACGTGGTGGTCGGGCTTGCCTATCGTGATAAAGCAACTGAGCTATACTAGCTGGAACAACCATTCCTCAAGGTCCTACCATGCCAGATAGGTCGGTTGAAGAGCGGTAAGACTAAAAGCAACAAAACCAAGGTTCGAAGGCGAAGTCGTACTGCTGACTGTACGTACAGAGGTGTGACAGCAGTAAGGTGTTTCCTTCAGACAACCAGCATAACAGCGATGCTGCATTCCAACAACGAGTGTTGCAGTGGGGTTAGAAAAGGTCGAACCTAAACATGCACAACTCTCCTTATCCCACGGATATCCGTCTCCGGCGGTAAGGTCTCCATAAGTACGGAGCTAACACAAAAATTACTCATAAAAAGGTCGTATGTGACCGACCTCAATCAGCTGTCCCTTGGGCACTGTGGTCATGCTCTCAGGTCACTATAACCACCTCTAATCTTATTTCTTTTTCAGATACCTCCAAGCAGAACCCTTCCATGGTGTAAGCAACCAGGAAATGATAACCACTCTCATACCTCTAACAATACTAACTCACATAATATATATACTTACCTGATACATTTCATCTTGTTCATTCCCTTGTTTAGGATCTAAAATAAGCATTACTCCATAGAATTCATCATTATGTATTTGTCTCCATATATAAGATTTATATTTTGTATTTAATGTTGTATTAATAGCAGATTCATAATATTTTAATGCTAATTGATGTATTACACTATTACATAGATTATTTTTTATTTCTATATCCGCACAAACAATATGATAATCATAACGTATTACATAATTTTTTAATTCATTTAATACATCCAATAGATCATTGATACTAAGCTCTTTTGAATATAAAAATTCATTGAATAGATCTAGATAAAATAAGAAAATAATAAAAATGAATATAGGATAATTGTTACCAAATACTTTGGTATAGCCGAAAATGGAGGGGTGGTGGTGGTGAATTCTTCATCCCTTTTTGTAATACTCTTACATAATCATGTGTATATATAGCCTCTGCCAGGGAAGTCTTACTCATTGCCTTCTTGTGTATTGGTGTGTGTGTGTGTGTGTGGGGTGTTGTTTACAAAAATGAGAGCATGAAAAGCGAATGTTCGGTGCATTAACCGGATACCAAATCAATGGTTCATATGGGCTGGGTCCAGGATCCTGAAGGAACAAATGGCTATCATGAGACTGCATCTCCTTACGATGCTTCACTGGCTTGTGGGTTAGATCTTTAGGTCAAAGGCTCTGGGTGTGGCCCCCTAAGAAAACCACCTGGTTAGGTTTAGGCACCCGAGCAGTATCACAGCCCTCACACATATCCAATGAGATCTGTGTGGCGCATATGTATTTGGTGCCCTCTTGTACCAATATCTATGTGTTAAAATAAATAAAGCAAAAGGTTCGCATTATTTAGGTCAATAATTTTAGTATTAATTCAGGGTTGTAGATGTAAACTTTGTTTAGTGTTAGGTTTTAAGGTCAATAGTTCTTGTATCAATTTAGTATAAACCTCGTTTCATATGACAGGTTGTTATAATTTTCTGTCTTATGATTATAACTCAGCTATTCCTATTGCTTACTAGTCTTGGATACCAATTCATTTGACAAGTCGTCAAATTACAGAACACAGTTGAATAGGAAAGATAATCATATTCCAAATAACAAGAGGTAGATGGAAGTAAAAAGTACAAATAGGGAAAATATTAGTGTATTTCCCCGAGCTCCCAATTTTGGGGATATTTCGGGGAAATTGTGAGGAAATGGCACAAAACCCCCTAAATTTCCCCAAACGTTGGGGATTTCCCCAAAGCTCCCCAAAATTGGGAGCTTGGGTCTAGTTTTTATATGAGAAGATTCTAGAATATTCTTCAAGTATCGACTAGCGCTGATTGGTTAAGAATTAGCTAATTAGTGTGCGCCAATACAATCATGCCTTGCGCATGATTTAATCCAATTTATATCCCGTTAACACAAATATATACTATTTTTCAATGTGACAATTCTATTGATTGTATCAATTCTAGTAAATTGTATTTATTGTGCATGTTTTAAAAGTAACTCTATGTAGTTCCCTTTTAATATGTATCATTATAAAGTGTGTTTAGAGTCAATAAATTCTTCATTGCATCAATGTTTTCTTTTTGTTCTTACTTTGAGTTATTCGAATTGGATTGGTACGTGTTTGAATGTATAAGAACTAGGATCAACGGGGTTGTAGTTTTTTGTTGATTGTTAGTGATAAATAACAAAACTGTAGATCCAACCAAGTCGATACGTTAGAGATAACATACGTTTACGATTTGTTCAGTAGATATATGACATTTATTAATTGTAATCAGTGTATTTTAAGTAGAATACTTGATTACTAAGTAGTTCATCATGATTTTAGTGCGTGGGTTGAGATACTACCCGGGTGCCCAAATCGAAGCAGGTGGTTTTCTTAGGGGGCCACACCTCGAGCCCTTGACCTAAAGGTCTAGTCCACAAGGCAGTGGAGGATCGTGAGGAGATGCAGTCCCATGGTAGCCGGTGACCAACGATTGGTTCATATGCCATTTGTTCCCGCAGGATACTGGAGATCATGTGCACCATAGAATTGGGATCCGGTTATAGCGCCGGACGTTCGCTTTTCGTCCTCTCATTTCCGTAAACAACACCCCCGCCACGTGAATGCAGTGAGTAGGACTTCCCTGGCAGAGGCTGTATACGCGTGGCCGTGTGAGAGTATTTCGAGAGAGAGGGCGAACCCTCCCCGCTCTCAGCCATACTAGGGCATTTGCGGGCAATATATATATATATATATATATATATATATATTTGGTGCCCCCCTGTACCAATATTTATGTGTTCAAATAAATAAATAATAATGATTACTAAGTGTATATATAGATTGAATGAATTTGGCACGACTGCGTCATTTATGTTAAATTGTATTAATACTACTGTTACTACTAATAAGTGTTATATGGTTAAAGAGAAACAAATTGAACTCTAATAGATAAGTGTGTTTTACACTTGATTTTTGTAATTATTAATGAAATGCTTGTAAACTACCCATATTCATTTTTTGTATAATTAACCTGTTTACTGATTAAGAATATAAGTAGTTAATGTTATGATACATTTTAATGTAAGAACTATTGAAATTGAACTCGATTCAATGATGTTTGATGTAGTGTCTTTGTTGATTAGAAATTAAGCAACTAAACTATTGTTTCTCATGTAAAACACATTTATTATTCATAGAATAATTGAACAAGTGTAAATATTCAATGTTACTATTATAGTTATATTGATTGCCCTCAAATGCCCTGGTATGGCCGAGAGTGGGGAGAGTCCGCTCTCCCTCTCCAAATGCTCTCACATGGCCACATGTACATAACCCCTGCCAGGGAAGTCCTACTCATTGCCTTCACGTGGCGGGGGTGTTGTTTACGAAAATGAGAAGACGAAAGCTAATGTCCTGCACCGGCTTTAACCGGATCCCAAACTAATGGTGCACATGGACTCCAGTATCCTGCCTGAAGGAACAAATGGCATATGAACCAATCGTTGGTCACCGGCTACCATGGGACTGCATCTCCTCACAATGCACCACTTCCTTGTGGATCAGACCTTTAAGTCAAAGGCTCGGGGTGCGGACCCCTAAGAAAACTACCTGCTTCGGTTTGGGCACCCGAGCAGTATCACAGCCCTCACACAAATCAATTGAGATTCGTGTGGCGCATATGTATTTGGTGCCTCCTTGTACCAATACCTATGTGTTAAAATAAATAAATAAATAAGTTATATTGATTATTACTTACCATTAGGATCATTCATCTGATAATTACCATCCAATTTAGCATGTCCAAAAAGTTTTTTTGTTGTAGAGCATTCTACATACACTATATAATTGAATAATACAATCCAGATTATCATAGATGGATATATTTTTATGGATTTTCTGTTTTGTACTTTAATCATTCTAAACTAGATTAAGGAATAAAGAGAAAAAGAATATTGGCATGAAATTACATTCAAGAATTATCACGAATATGTATATATATATATATAGTCAATTACTAAAACTTTAAACTTCTTTAGAGAAGAAAATAGTGCAAAGTAATGCATGGAGGACAGCTGACTGACGCATTCCAACTAAGGATTAGAGTCAGACAAGGCTGTCTACTTTCTCCCTTCCTCTTTCTTCTGGTGGTCGACTGGATGATGAAGGCTTCGATATCTGAGGGAAAACATGACATACAATGGACAGCTCGGAACCAATTAAACGATTTGGACTTCGCACATGACCTAGCCCTCCAATCGCACACACACGTACAAATGCAGATAAAGACAGCCAGCATAGCAGCAGTCTCTGCATCAGTAGGCCTCAATATACACAATGGGGCAAAACCAAGATCGTCAAATACAATATGGAGGACAGCAAACCAATTATTCTTGATGGCAAAACTCTGGAAGATGTAGAATCCTTCACATAACTGGGAAGCATTGTCGATAGACAAGGAGGTTCAAATGAAGACGTAAAGGTGAGGTTTGGCAAAGCAAGGGCAGCATTCCTTCAATTAAAGAACATATGCAACTCAAAACAACTTTCAACCAATATCAAAGTCACAATCTTCAAAACGAACGTCAACACAGTTAGTTCTACTGTACGGAGCTGAAACGTGGAGAACCACAACAACCACCATCAAGAAGGTACAAGTATTTATCAGTAGTTGTCTACTCAAGATACTCAACATCCATTGGCCGGATACCATGAGCAATAGCCTTTTGTGGGAGAGAACCAACCAGCTTCCAGCTGAAGAGGAAATTAGGAAAAGACGATGGAAATGAATAGGACATACATTGAGGAAATCATCAAACTGCATAACGAGACAAGCACTAACTTGGAAACCTGAAAGGAAGCGAAAAACGGGAAGGCCAAATAACACATTACATTGGGAAATAAAAGCAGATATGAGAAGGAAGAATAAGAACTGGAAAGAGTTGGAAAGTATTGCTCAGGACAGGGTTTTATGAAGAATGCTTGTGAGTGGCCTATTCTCCTTCACGCGGAGTAACAGGCGTAAGTGATTAAGTGTTTGCCTTCTAGTGTTAACATTAAATAGCAACTGCCTTAAGCAGTTAATAGGGTTATCTATTGTGACGATTCATTAAGGTTATTTTGTTTGTAACGCTTGTTGTTTGAGGTTCTATCAAACCGTTCAGTTGGATAGCTTTAATGTCAAAAAAAAATTTTGATAAAGAATTTGTGCTATCAATTGTAATAGGAGGTAATGAGAGCAAGGTATTCTTCATGGATAGCCGGTGTTAAAGAAAACTTAGCACTACCTCATGTTTCCCTCGGATTTCTAGTATCAATGGTAAGGCTTGTAAAGTATAAAGATTATTTATAGGTTGTTAAGTTTTTAACATTTAGCATATATAATATTCGAAGAGTTGGGATATTTCGGCAAAGTAACCTTTAATAATAGTTGTTTATGATGTTATAGAACTCTAATCTCTGCATGATTTCCCCTATTCTTAATTTTACACATTATTTTGAGTAATTGATGTCTGTATACATAACAGTAACAGAACATAATCGTAGGCGTAGAATACCTGGTTAGGGTCCGCGAGACGATAACAACCGATGGTTAGAGATCTTGAATGACATGGCTCAAAATCGTTTGCAATGGCGTAGGTGCATCCACTGTTTGTGTTCTCTCAAACTCTCATCTTCTGAATTCTTCATGTCCTTTATTTTCTTTTCAAATTTATTCCACTGGATTATATTCCTTAAATAACATCATCAAACCCTAATGTTCCCTATTACTACTTTTACTTCCACTATCTCTACCACTATGGGATTTGAATCGATAACTGAATCTCTGTGATAATGTGGTATGTCAACTCAAACTGATGTACGTACGTACGAAGTCCCATGTTGGTACTGACTGACTGACATAATCGTTGATTATATCGCTGCACCTGGAGCACATGCATACATTGTAATTCTAATTTTATGTAAGTATGGTTATTGAAATTGTACTGAAAAGGAACACGGTTTGGGACAATCGGGTGTATTTAATAACAAATTACACAACTAGTTAGTAAAATCTAACAACCATATATGGTAAATGCTCAATTTGCGAAAATGTTCATCCATTGTCTCAAATGATTCAGAATTCCTTTATTCTTGCATTTTCATACAAATTACATTCTGTCTTCATTCTTTACTGTTCGATCCTCTTGTCTGTTTACTGCCAGACATTCAATTCACTTACTTACTTACTTACGCCTGTTACTCCTCGTGAAGGAGCATAGGCCACTCACCAGCATTCTCCATCCAACCCTGTCCCAAGCAATCCTTTCAAGCTCTTTCCAGTTCTTATTCATCTTTTTCATATCTGCTTCTATTTCCCGACGTAATGTGTTCTTTGGCCTTCCTCTTTTCCGCTTCCCTTCAGGATTCCAAGTTAGCGCTTGTCTCGTAATGCAGTTTGATAATTTCCTCAATGTATGTCCTATCCATTCAATTCACGATTAACATCATATACTACTTATATCTACATATAAGTAGCACACACACTCAAGATGACTAAATAATCTAATCACATTTCCTGTATCATATCGAGCGAACTCTCATAGATAAATCCATTGCAGTTATAGATATCATTATCCTAGTTATATGTCACATTATTGATTAAGTGATAATTTAGCAGAGTAAATTATACGGTATTTGCGTGTATCTACTTGTCAACTGTTTTCAAATATGTATCGATCACGAAAAAACTTTGAAATATTTTAGTTTCTTAGTTGATTCTCATGGAAACTGAGGTGGGGATGGGGGTGGGGGCAGAGTGTATTCATCTATGAGAAACAAGTGTTATTATTTTTTTCCTATTGACAGGTTTGTTTTTTTGTTGTTGTTGATATAATGTCGTTAATTCACGTTTTCTCTGTGTTTCTCCAAACAACTTTTCACAGTGGTTAATATAAGGGATATTCACCTTAGAGATTACTAATCACAGTAATATATATATATATAGTCTGTAAGGTGAATATTCTCTAATATCAGCCGTTATGTTTGGGAAAACACAGAGAAAATGTGATGTATTGAAAAAACAAAATGAGGAAAGTAACCAAAATGTAGTATCAGTGCTTGAAGTCATTAACTTCTTATTTTAGCTATATTGGTAGATGCAGACTACTTGGTTGGGGTCCTCATGATCATCGTAACCAAATGGTTAGAGACTCTATGCGACATGATAGAGAATTGATCATAATGGCATCGTCGTGTACACTGTCTCTGCCTCTGTCAGGGAAGTCCTACTCACTGATTTCTCTTGCATGGGAGGGGTGTTGTTTACGAAAATGAGAGGACGAAAAGCGAATGTCCGGCACCGGCTTTAACCGGATACCAAATCAATGGTTCATATGGGCTAGCTCCAGTATCCTGCGGAAACAAATGGCGTATGAACCAATCGTTGGTCACCGGCTACCATGGGACTGCATCTCCTTACGATGTTCCACTACCTTGTGGGTCAGACCTTTAGGTGAAAGGCTCGGGTTGTGGCCCTTTGAGAAAACCACCTGCTTGGGTCTGGGCACCTGGACAGTATCACGGCCCGCACACATATGAAGTGAGATTTGTGTGGCGCATATGTATTTGGTACCTCCTTGTACCAATATCTATATGTTAAAATGAGTGAATCTATATAAATACACTAGCACTTGAGTGCAATATATGAGTAGACTGTCGATTTTAAGTCATATATGGATACCTATTACAACTGTTAGTCACTACAATCTGATGTTAATCAAAACACACATTTTTTTTACTAACAGTATACATTCAAATATATCAGGTGTATTTGATAGAAAAAAAAGAGGTGCTTCCAAAAACATTTATCTTAGATTTACAAGTAATGATGATGTTAATTAGAGAAAGGTTTTTATGGATATTATAGTAATTTAATAGTTCCCGACCATTTTTGCTACCTTGATGTGGTGGTCGGGAGGTCTTGCCTATCTTGATGAAGCAACTGAGCTATACTGGCTGGAACAATCGTTCCTCAAGGTCCTACCATGCCAGACAGGTCGGTTGAAGAGCGGTAAGACTAAAAGCAACAAATCCAAGGTTCGAAGGCGAAGTCCTACTGCTGACTGTACAGAGGTGTGACAGCAGTAAGGTGTTTCCTTCAGACAACCAGCATGACAGCGATGCTGCTTTCCCACAAGGAGTGGTGCAGTGGGGTTAGAGAAGGTCGACCCTAAAAATGCACACCTCTCCTTATCCCACGGATATCCGTCAATGGCGGTAAGGTGTCAACAAGTACGGAGCTAACACAAAAATTACTCATAAAATGGTCGTGTGTGACCGACCTCAATCAGCTGTCCCTTGGGCACTGTGGTCATGCTCTCAGGTCACTATGACCACCTCTAATCGAATTTCATTTTTAGGTACCTCCAAGCAGAACCCTTCCACGGTGTGTGAAACCGGGGAGTGATAACCGCCCTCATACCTCTAACAGTACTCAAGACCATTGTATAAATTTAATAGTTGAATTCATAAGTCGATTGAAGTTAGACCACCATTTAGAGTCGCATCCTAGGACGAAATGGCCATTCAGTGCTTCTAGGTTTTTCATGGTAGTCTCGCTTCAATTGAGCATGTTGTTTATGATTATCATCATTTCTGTATGGTATTAGTTAGTTTATCAGTTTTAAATGATACAATATTTGTAACAAATATGTATCAATTTAAGTATAAAAAATCTATAAAAATTATTCATGTCTCAGTTAAAGTTACCGTTACATAATTTATTAAATCATATGTTATATATATATTAAGAGGGGAATTGTGTCTTATATTTCACTCCAGTAGTTCCATTGGTATATTCAAAAAATTAAAGAGATTCGCATTGTAGATTAACATGCCCCCAAATGCCCTGGTATGGCCGAGAGTGGGGGGAGTCCGC